CCAGGCAGAACCAATCAATGACGACAGTTTTAACTATATAAACACCCAAGGGCTAGATGTCATATTTGACAAGGTCCGGTCTTCTCCTGGACACAGAACAGGGACAGAAAAGCTGTTTCATACATCTAGGAACACACTATGCAATTAGAATGAAAATATTTGCTTATCAGTTATGGCATTGTAATGTCAAACACACAGTGGCTGCTTGATGTTTTAATTTTACCTCCCAGTAACAAGAAAATTAGCTGGTTTTGTTTAATTGTCTTCTGAATATATCAATGTGAAAGGTTAGGCTTAAGTGAAAGGGAAGATAAGCTGCCTGACAAGTCCAAGACAGCTGAGGAAAGATCTCCATGTCCTATTTGTTTAGACAATGCCATCAGCGCTGGTTTAGGCAAATGCTATTAGTGGAACATTCACTACTGGCTTAAAATATCCAAACCACCCAGAGACTCTTTAAGAGTGAGATGGGTAGTCCCTAAATTTGATAAATAAATAAAAATGAGCAGACTATTCATTGAAAAATGAAACTAACACAACATAAGCAATCTTTACAACTAAATCAGCAAAATAACAATAAACTGTTAATTCATGTTATTATTTAATAATAATAATAATAAAGTTGGAAGGGACCTACTTGAGTTCAAGGAGGAAATAATGAAGAACAACATGTTAAAGATCTGTAAAACTATTAATGTGCTGAATAAGAGGACAAATCCAGATGTACCACCAAAACAGAACTTCTCATTATAAGTCCTGTTTCCTTCAGTGATAATGCTGTATTTCCTTCAAATCTTGTTGAACATACCTTAATTTGGAGTTTAGCATATTTTCGGGTACATGGATATTATTGTACAGTCTCATATGATTACCTGGGCTCTCATCAGTTGTCAGAACAGTAGAATCTTCTGACATATAATGGTATTTTCCATGAAAAGATGAGGGCCACCACATGCTTGCCCAATTCTTACTCTTCTTGACAGAAGATTGAGTCTGACCCATGGCTAAAAGAGACATTCGTCACCTTTTTCAAGGATATGTCCATGAGTGTTAAAAAAAGAAAGGCATCAAGACCTTGGCCCAGAAAATATAATTATATATAAAAAATTATAAGACAGATTCAAATATTGCCTTTCCTGGGAAAATGACTGAAGAAAAAGGTGGTCTTGTAGCTTCAGATGTACCTGGATGAAACCGATTTTCTGGACTCATTTCAATCAGTGGTTTGCCTATGCTCAGTGGATAGAGAGATTTAAACTGAACAAGAAGAAATCTGTTATAACCAATGAAGAAATTGATTTTGAATTAGATTTATGTATTAATGACAAGCATGATATTGCTAAGATATATAAATTATTATTGAAAATGAATGTGGAGGATGAACGTGTTAAAGACTGTATGATCCAATGAATAAAAAACTTTAGATCAGTGGGAGAGGTCCCAGGGGAGAGGGACCAATACACTCACACTCACTGACTCTCACCCAACTTTCCCCCTTCAGCCCCAGAGTTCCCCAAACAGCCTTACAGGACTGCAGAGATGCTGCAACAGTCATAAGTGTGAGGACTGGTAGTAAGTCACATTTTCAGCACCATAACTTCAAATGGTCACTAAACAAATGGTCAGAAATTGATGATTACCTGTATGAAGATGTTGGGAAGCACTCAGATTGGCAAGGAGGAGGGATCAAGTGTTGAGCTAGCCTAGAGTCACTGCACAACCACAAAAAGGCTACAGCTGACCCCACCCCCCAGGTTCCTTGGAGCCTTATCTAATTGTTCCCAGTAGTACACTGACAGACTGGGAAGATTCCTGTATTACTGACAGAACATAATAAAGTAGTTAGTTTGAAATCTGCATGTGTGGGCCTGGTTATTCATGCCTCATAACCAGCAGATCTTGGAAATCAGAAGAATTATACACACATGAAAGGCCTATACTATTGACAATATTTTGCGAATATTGTAAAAAAAATGTAAATTTGCAGACTATTAAAGATGAATAAATAATCTTTGCAACTGATGAGCATTAAGCCTATTGATTTCAATGCTTCCTTACCAGAGCTCTTTTGCTATTCTGATAAATAGAAAATTATGACGATAATGTTCTGTTCACAAATATTAATGTTTTTAAGCAAGAAGGAAATGTTTATCTACCCAGAGCAAAACTAAATGATGGGATTCACTGCAAGCCACTGTGCTAATGGCTGCCAGGTAGGGTACCTTTAAAAGGAACTTGGCAGATTTATAGTGGATCAGGCTATCAGTAGTTTCTAATACGGATTAACTATATTTCCCGAATATTAGCTGGCCATTGTGTTCTGCCTTTCATCTACCAGCTGGTGGCAGCATTTTATTGAGTGATAAGGAGGTCATTGCACAAAATCATTTGATTTGTGGTGATTTCATGCATGCCTTTATAAAAGATCCTAATGCTCAATGAAAAATATCTGGCTTCTACAAACTTCTGTTGTCCCTTCTCAGTCTTCCCGAAGGAAAAAAAGTTGATTGATTTGAATTTTTCTTGTGCATATTAAGAGTAAGAGAGCAAAGGAGAAGGAAAATCACAAATATTACAATGATCATTCAATAGAGATGTTGCATGAAATAAGGTTGCTTCAAGCATGTGCAATTGTTAATTTCTTAGGAACATGGAGAAACATTGGACTAAGGCAGGTTCATACATAGTGTGGAAAAAAATCAACAAACATTTCTGAAATGACTGTCCTGGTAAAATCGGGTCACTCTGTGTAAAACAGAATAATAGTAAACTACTTCTCTACAGTGTAAATCTATCTATTGATGTGGCTTATAAAATACATATGTTCAGGAGTATGAGTTTTTATATAATTAGGTGGGAATTTTAAGAATTGAAGCGTAACACTCCTGGCCATATTTTTAAATGAAGTTATTAATGAAAAAGCAACATTGTACTGGGCCAGTGGAACTAGAGAAAGAATGAATTGTTGATCACTGAGCAGATAAAGACACCACTTTCAATCTCAAAACAAAGCGAGGATCCAGATTCCTTGGCCTTCCAGCTCTTTGATTCTACATTTCTGTGTTTCATTTTTGCTTCCCTTCTACCTGATACCTGAAAGGGTATCAGCCCTTTCAGGTAGGACAAATCAGAAAACAGACAGGAATGCTACTTTATGGTTATATGGTATAATGATGTAATAGATTCTGGAAACCCTACCAGATTTTCTGTCTGCCCTTGTTTATAACCAAGCCAACTCAAGACTGGGTAAATTTCACTTTCTTTTTCACATCCTATATTTTCTGATAGCTGTAAGAAGTAATATCAGAGACAGAAGAAAAAGCTTAGTACCTTAGCATCAAGGATCTGTAAAATGTTCCATAAACTACTATTCAGTGCCAGAACCAAAGTACATTTCAAATATTTGGGGGTGGGGAGAAAGGTACTATTGGGGATAATGTGTCTATAATCAATGGTGCTTGAAGAGCAATGAAAGATTTAAAAGGGAGGGATTGCCTCCTTGCATAGCTGTTGTGATATCAGGCAGATGTTACACACTGCCCTTGAAGCTAGTGAGAACATGGCAGTAATGGACATGCAGAGTAGACAGAAAACCAATGTGCTTTGCCTTGTTCACCCTGAAAATCTCTCGGTGATACCCTAAAATTTTATTTTGGTTTGTTTCTACTGAATCATAGCATATTTGAAACAATACAGCAGAACTTCCAGAATGTGAAGATTTGTTTTGGAATTGAAATATTTTCTGATTCATGCACACCCATTTAGCATTCCCATACATCTTAAAGCATATCAGATACCTACTATACGTATATTTCAATCACTTGATCAAATAAATATTCCTTAATACTTAAGATAAGAGGTATAATAACTTGTTATCTGAATACTAGTTAGGAAATACTGTTTGACATTATACTTTTTATTTGTATTCCACCTCATTTTTATAAACAACTCAAGTATTATTTTTATAAACAATTCAAGGCTGTAAACATATCTAGTATTTTAAGTAAATATTCAGAAAAAAAATCTTTTCTCATCCTGCTCCATCCAACAATTCACAAGGCAATATGTTTTCCCCAATAGGAATTTCACTTCCCTCCATCTTGCAGCCTCTCATGTGTCCTAAAATCCCCCAATCCTCAACTGCAGTTCTGAAGAGAAGTTTCAGGAGAAACTCATCCATCAATCTCCATTTCATAGTCCTGTGCATGTGTGTGGACTGTAAGAGCCATGTTGATACAAGAGCATGTTTATATTCATTGATATCTTTTATGCCTGAGAATAGCTCTCTGTAAGAGCAGATAAGTGAAGATATGTAATCGATGCCCAAAAAAATTTTTTTTAAAGGAATGGTAATCTGGATAATTGTATAATATGCAAAATTTGCTTTCATGCAATGCAAATCATTTATGTAGACCAGCTATTGAGATTAACTCTAGAGGTTTTCAAGAAACAATTGGACAACCATTTGTTCAAGATGGTATGAAGATCCTGCTTTGGGTAGGGGGTTGAACTAGAAGACCTCGAACTTCCCTTCCAAACCTACGATTCTACAAATTAATATTGACATGTGTAAAACAAATTATGTTTTATGTAATAAAGTATTTGGTCTAAAATACACACATCATCTTTTAAAATTATTGAAGAGCAGACTGCTACATAATCAGTTAATACAGCATTAGCATATTGGCATAGAGCTTTCAGCAGTGGATAGATACACAGTTCCCATGTTCACATGTGACATATAAAGAAGATAGCTTTTTTTTTTAAATGACCTAATAGAGCATTCATACAGCTAAGCAGCTCTTGATCTCATCTCATGTTAGTATCTTAACAGATACCGTTTCAGAATCTGTGTAGTTGCTTATGGTGCAATCATGGAAGAAATGTTGAACATAATTATAACAAAAAAAATTTTTAAATAGATTATGTAAAATAAAAAAGAAACCCCTTCAAGGCCTAATTATTTATCTTGGTTAAATCAAGACAATCACAGATAATGATTTTTCCCAAATCTTTGGCTGTATTGCAATGGTTGTTTCAATTTGTAGTATCCAGCTAAACATTTCCTATTCATGGATTAACAATATATTTTTACCAATATGTGTATTTTAACAGTATTTATCCAACATAACAAAATAAACTGCAATTTGTTATATTTTTTACAAAACATTTTATAAATATTTTTACAAAATGTATACAAAGCAATTTCAAGTGAGACATACTATACAAATGAAAGTTTTTAAGCAAATGAAGTTCATATTACATTGACAAAAAGTGACACATCCTCTTTCAGTAAAGTCAGTCTGTAAGGCCTCCCAAATCTAACAGATCAGTTATGCTGACCTTGTTGAATCAGATTTTTTATAGTTGCCAGCTAAAAATGTTTTAACTTTAGACAATGTGGAAAGACATCAGGTATTCAAGAGACCAAATCTACAAAGCAGGTAAGCACAAATAAATGGCCTTCACTGGATTCAGGACCATGGGCTGCGTAACAAATTCACACTTTGTTTCTTTACAATGAACAAAAATATTTTTACTGCATTACCATTTAAAATATTCAGAACTCTAAAACCAAGTTCAGTTTAATAAATAAAATACATTAACTATCCCAGGTTAATTCAGCTGAACTTTGTTCAGTGGGTTCCCAGCACAAAATCCTGGGATAAATATAGGTATGATTTAATCCACATTGATGAAGTGCATTTCAGATGTCTTGGCTAAGACGTTATCTAAAATTAAACTCTCACCTAAGATTCAAAACATATACACTTTATTTTGGTATTTAGGTTCAGAATATTCTGTACATACAATGGGAACTTTACACTGGCAGGTAAAACCAAAATAAGAAGTTGTACAAATGTGAATCTTTTTTTTTTTTTTTACATTTCCAATCAGATACTAGTTAAACTAATTTATATGACTGGCGCAATATACACCCTGCTTTCCAAATTACCTCATTATGGTTACAGTTCAATTATGTTTCCTTCACAAAACCTTGAGGGAAAAGCACCTTCTACTCTCTTTATGTTACTTAAAAGAAACAAATAATTAAATCCATCCTCACAAAAAATAAATTTGTGACAAAGCCAAGCCATCAATTATAGTTATTTAAATTATTGTTGCCAGGAAGTGTACAAAATCATAAGTCTGTGACTTTAAAATCACATACCTGGTTTTTTTTTTAAAAAAAGAGGCAATAAAACTAAACTCCATGTTTCTATTCCTGTTATATATGGATTGTACATTAACTGTTGTTACTCTTTTGCTGAATTAAATTATATTTTATTAATCCATGGCAATGTGGTCACAATACAAGGATGGTAGTGTGTTCTATGTGGAATAATACAACAGAATACAGTTTTGCATTACATTATTTGGAATAAAGAAAGGAAAATGTGACTTCTTTCTAAACATTCTGGCAAATTGACTGACAACCAGTTTGTCATTGTATGTAGCAAAACTACATGTGACTTTACAGCTGAATGCAAGAGAAAGATCCCCATCAAATCAAGACCAGAGAGTCCTCAATAAATTTTAAATATTTCTGTAAAGAGAAGCTGCAGACAAAGCGTCATAATCACAGTTCTCTGTCCTTTTGAGCAGGCATAGTTGTATGCAGCAGCATTAAAGAGAGCTTGTATAGTTTGTTCTTTAAGCCTGGCAACATAAAAGGAGAAATCTGTATATTTAAATAATAAAGAAAATACATTAACAATATGACCACCAGCCAAACGCAAACCATGCATGAGATTCCTTTGGCTCTAGATTATGAGATGTATGCTTTTACATGTAATTTTGTTAATGGATAGAAATTTAACTTTGGTTTATATGTGTTTTGGTAATATGACCACTGCTGCGAATGGATTAACATTCTGAACAATTAGAAGCAGAAACAACCAAAATAACACTGTCCTTTAATTTGTTCAGATTAAGGCTAGTGCTCCTTAAACTATAAACGTTTACTATAACAACACAATTTTTAAGTAAAAATACTTGTCATACTTGGTTTAGAAAAACATTATACCATTTTGGAGATATTTAGTTGATTATATCCAATTATAAAATACAAAAGCTTTTGTTGAATAATCAATGTGTCAATCAAAATTTTTTGTGTGTATATGTGTATGGTATGTGCATGACTACTTTATAGCTTTTTAATATTTCCCATCTACTAGGTTTTCTAAACTTAATATTTATTGTTCCATACCAAATTGCAACTTAAATTCTACAATTCTATAATTCTTTGAATTATATTGGTTTCTGCTTATGGAGCAGCTGAATAGCACTTGAAGTATAAAGCTCTGTAAACTCTGCTTACAATTTCTCAGTTTACAGTTTTTTCTCTATTTCTTGTAAACCTGGCAAAGATATTTCTGCGAAGAAGTAAACTATAGAATTTTTAACCACAGAGATTTAAATCTTGACAGGAGATATAGAGAGCATTTTTCTTATTAAACGTATTTAATACCCCTGTTAGTAGTCTGTGATTGTCAATATACTACCTTATTATGTAGGGTTTAGTCAATTAATGTTTCATTAAGCTGCAACATTAAAACTGTTTATACAAGCAATGTAATCCGGTGGTTAGAGTGTAACACTTAGCCACAGACCATGATGATGATATTGGGGATTTTCTGTTCCATATTTTATTAACCAGTTTTGTCATGTCAACTTTTGTCAACTCTGAATTATACAACCCTAATTGTAGCTACTGAAAAGCCAACAATTGCAAATCACAGTTGATGAATCTGGTTTAGTTATTAATTATAGGTTAAACCTCAGGCAACACATTAAACTATAGTCTAAAATAGAAACGAAAGCTTCTGATCTTACCACTGCAGTTGAGTTGGAAGAAGAGAGGGGAGGGAAAGGCTCATTGAGAATCATTCTTGAAATGATAAAGAACATGGTTGAGAATTACATTCAATCACAGCCAATGAATAGGCCTTACCAAACAGCTTTCTCTTAAGGTTTTACATTACTGGATACCTCACTGTAACCACAATGAGTACTGCTCTCAAACAAAGAACAGAACCTACTTTAGAAAGTACACACGTCAGGCTGTATTTGTGGTATCTTTCACATTTGTTTCTATGGGAAATTTGTCCACGGTACTGTAACTATTAACATTCTAAGATACTATTTACAGCAGCTTCTAAAAGAGAGTCAGTTTCTACAATGCTTTCACTGTGGTCTGGAATAAATTTCTCCAGGCAGTTTTCTTGTGGAGCAATAAGTGAACAGTTAGGATACTCTAACTCCAGAGAGCCACTAGCAGCTCCCCCACTTTGTGGCTGCCTTTCAGTCTTTTTCAGTTCTAATATATTTTTGAATGTAGTTTCTAAACTCTTATTGACCAGCAAATCCTTTTGGGGTTTTCCAGAAACTTTCCAGCTGTCTGGTGGCAAATCGATATTCTTTGGAGAACTCCGAGGAGTTTTATCTTGGAGGGAATGATTATGTGCTGTTTCTGAATGAGAATCAATTGTATTCCAACAGGTTTTATTATGCGTACCACGATCTGCATTTGATAAGATTTTAGATGAATGATCTTTAGAAGCTAAAGAATTTTCATTCAACTTGTCAAGACCTTTAAGAGCAATTTTTTGTTCAGAAGAAGCCATATGTTGGCTTTCGGGAGAGCAGCTTTCAGAAGAGCATTTCTCAAATGTTAAAGCTTTTGCAAGATCTGCTTTTTTAACAGAAATGTTTTCTTGTGGTGGACTCACAATATTGTTAGGCACTACATGAAGTTTGTTGCACATTAAAGACTCTGCTGTGCTTGACTTGTCTCTCATTTGGGCATTAGCAGTCTGGTTTGGAGAAGTTAAAGATTTGCTAGTTTGATGATCACTTTCGTGAAGCTGTGTTTCATCAGCACCCTTGTCAAATTGCGTGGATGAGCAACAAAAGTCTGCCAGAAAACCATCTGAAAATTGGGAAAAAAAGTATCTCAATACTACATTGTTGTACAACAGCAAGACATAAGAAATATTCTTCAATGCTTTCAGACCTGGGATACCTATATTTTGCCCAAAGTGGAATTTTGGGACCAACTTCTTAATTTTTTTTTATCGTGGATCTATAGGACACAAATATTGCAGTAAGCCCCATTTACATTAAGTCACAACCAACATGTAAAAAATAAGTGATCTGCTAAATAAAAACCTACAATGAACTACTGTACATATTAAAATATGATTTTAGGTTTCAGATTGTAGCTTAAATGGAATTCTGGTTAGTTCAGTGTGAATCACAATGAAAAGTGTTGTTAATAGAATGTCCTTTAAAAAGCAGTCAGAGTGGGAAGAAAGGACCTACGAAATCCGTTTGGTCCAGTAGTTAAGGCACCAGACTACAAGCCGGAAACTGTGAGGTTCTAGTCCTGTCTTAGCCATGAAAGCCCACTGGATGCTTGGACCAGTCACTCTTTCTCAGTATAACTCACCGCACAGGGTGGTTGTTGTGGAGAAAATAGGAGGGGAAGTTGCATTGGATATGTTTGCCACTTTAAGTTATTTATAAAAATAAAAAGGTGGGATGCAAATAAATAAATAACATTAAGTTATAATTGCCTGACCTATTAAGTATTGCTAGACCTATTAACTGTTGCTGCACTGAAAACTGACATGTCTTCTGTACCTATATGCACATTTTTATAAAATAAACTAATATTCAAGAATTTCAAAATATTCAAATTTTATGTTGAAATTTGTTCTCAATTGCCTTCATTAATCTTTTTAGATTAGAACGTTTCTGTTCAGAATTAGCAGAATATTTTTCTAAGTAAAGAGGTAACAAATATATTTGCAAACATAATTCCTTTGAAAACAAATTATATCATATCTTACAAGCTAAAGTGATTTAAAATTGTCATGTAGTAAAATATATTTTTGAATACATGAATGCAGCTGTATCAAAATCACATATTGTATCTGCATCCTCCCAACAAACATATTGTTTGGGGAAGTAAAGAAGAAACAAACAAGTGGTGGGAGGGGAAAGAATTAAGATTAATAGCACAACAGTAGGCTATTGCATTACACTGTTGTTTACTTATTATTATGAATAAGGATGCATAATGGGTCTTAACATCTACATAGCCATCAAGAATTATATTGAGACTATGTTGCATTCAATTGGCAAGTAAAACAAAATGGAAAAGCAGTGACATAAACAAAAGAAATCTCTTATCTAACATGAGTCTTAGTTTCTTACCAGGATCAACTATTGCAAGACGTTTATCCCGGGACAGAGATTGTCTTTCTTCCTGATTAAACATCCTGTCAATCATTACCATTTCTGCTGAAGGATTTATCCTCTGGAAAAGAAAACAAACAAACAAAATCAGCTCCCATGCTACAAACAAAAAATGTTATGCTCCTGTTTTCTAGCTAATTGTTGAAGTTATACGGGAACCATATCAATATCATATCACAGTACAAAACAATATAACACAACACAATACAATACATAAAAACAGAACTCTGTTGGGATTCAAAAGAAGAGCCTTCTCTGCTGCAGTGCCTGCCCTTTGGAACATCTTACTCTCTAAGGTAAGATCTTCCCCCACCTTTCTTCCTAAAGACCTGAATCTGCTGATTGGCCTGGGTCCAAATAGGGGATAGCTCAATGCTGGAAGTGATTGCTGGGTTAATGGCAGACTCCACCTCCACCCCCTTCTCTGCTCTCTACACATCCATCTTTCTTTTTTGGTAATCATATGATTGTATTCTCATAGTTCTCTTTCATTGTTTATTTTATTGTTCTATTATCTTACTTCGGTTCTGTTCATTCTTTTCATTTCTTTCTTTTTATTGTTGTAAGCTCCCTAGAGTAGCCCCATGGTAAGACAGGTGGCATATAAATTTAATAAATAAATAAATAGTATTAACAGTTCCAGCGACTGCTGCACCCAATGTCCCTCCAGTGGTCACAGGATTGCATTTCAGACACTTGACAACAATGAGCTGCAGGATCCCACAGTCAAGTTTCCAACAAAATGGATTTACTTAACAGCCACATGCTTCACTTAACAACCACTTCTTTAACCATCATAGTGAATTGCTTTACAACCATCATAAAAATGGTCATAAAATCATGAAATGATCCATTTAACAACTGCAATGACTTAACAACCAAAGGAGGGAGCAAGGAAATGTGGCAATGGTCAAATAGGATGTGCAAGAGCACAGTACAAGTTGGGAAGGGTGCATGGGGTGTGGAAGCAGCCAACGTGGAAAGAGTTTGGAGAGGCTGGGGATGATGCACAGGTAAGGGAGACTATCCCAGCCTTCCCTGCCAGACTACCCCTACTGACTTTCCATGGAAGTCACCAAGGAAGGTCGCAAATGGGAATCATGTGATTGAGTGAGGCTGCAACTGTTTGTAGGGTAACCCGGTTGCCAAGTGTCCTGACTGCAGTTTCATGACTACAGGAATAATGAGCATTTCGAGGACTAATCATAATCACCATTCATTCAATACTATTATAACTTTGAACAGTTGCTGAATAAATTAACCTGCCTGCAGAAGTTGTGAGTACTCCAACACTGGATGTTTTTAAGAAGAGACTGGACAACCATTTGTCTGAAATGGTATAGGGTCTCCTGTCTGAGCAGGGGGTTGGACTAGAAGACCTTCAAGGTCCCTTCCAACTTTATTATTATTATTACTACTACTACTACTACTACTACTACTACTACTACTATTATTATTATTATTATTATTATTATTATTATTATTATTATTATTATTATTATTAAATGGTTGTAGGTCAAGGACTAACTGTAGTTTGAAATGGGTGACTGCAGCAAATGAGGACTATGTTCTACAGTTAAGAATTTCACACCTTTGTAGTACTCTCAATTAAAAAATGGGTCCCCATGCTAGCTACTTACAAATGAAAGACACTTTGAAGCTATTTTATATCTTGGAAATGAATCACCTTTGCTTCCCTTGACTCATTACATTTACATGCAGTATTAATCACATGGTTAATGTTACAACTAGTTTGGCGTGAAAAAACATATATAATTATTTTTCATTGGTCTTACCATTGCATCTTCCATTAGAAGACATCTGTATTTATTTAGCATTGACTGTGTTCTTTTCAGAAGCTGTGTTGCTGCAGATTCAAATTCATTATCCACTGAAAGGCATTAAAACACATTTAGATAGTAGTCTTTAAACCCTAAAATATTTATAATAATCTTTTTCTTCCATTTTCCATTATATGCATAACATATAACTTATCTGATGTTTATCAGCCCCACACACACACACATACACACACCTTTTTCAAAATAGTAGAAAGGGGAAAATACCTTTCCTTAAATCCTCTTCAGTTGGCGGTGATCCCTGGCACACATGATATGAAAGAAGTCTCTGGACTGCATCCCTTAAAGATCTGAACTGACTTTTGTCAGGAGCTACAGCCTGTGCCTGGTCCTTCTGTAATTGCTGTAGAATGCTAGTGGAAAGAAAGTAACCATCAGTCATTTTACAATGACATCTGGAAAAATTTTGCAAAATTTGTGAAGGGCAAAACAAAACAAAACAAAAAGCTAAAATGTATATAGAAGGGAAATTAACTTACAAGGCTCCTTTGGTTAACTGTTTAGAAGCAGGCCTCTTTTGTCCTACTATATGACCATCCACCTAGGTCCAAAATACATTTTTGTTACATTAGGATAATCTTTTATTAAAAGAAATTATAGTTTTGTACATTTCAAAGTACTACTACTTTCTATAAACTGCATTAATACAAATATGAATTGCTTATGTGTCACATATGAAAATAAATAAAATGGTTTATATAGATAACAATTACAATCTTAGACACAATTGCCTTTGAAAATTTTCAAACATAATCCTCTTTATCAGTAGGATATGCCTGTATAAACAAGCATAAAATCGAAGTGTACTTTTTATGGTGTGATCCAAGGATTACTAAAGTATTTAAAATTTATAATGGCAAATACCACCAAATATCTAAATTATTGTTTAGTTTCATACAATTTCTCTAGGAGACTTTTAAATACCCTATCATAGATTTCATCACAAATCTCCTTTTCAAGATTACTGAATTCAAGCAAATGACAGCAAATATGCTAATGCAGTGTTCCATGACACAATATTTCATTACTCCTGTGAGATTACACCAATAAACCTCTTTCATTTTTTATAAACACAAAAGACAAAGTTCTGTAAACAAATAAATGGTAAGCTGTTTGAAATAAACAGGAAATTTGTCTATATTATTGTTTAGCTTCATATAATATTTCAAGCGATATATAGTAATAGTAATAAAGTTGGAAGGGACCTTAGAGGTCATCCAACCCTCTACTCAGGCAGGAAACCCTATACCATTTCAGACAAATGGCTGTCCAGTCTTTTAAAAACTTCATTCACAACTTCTGGAGGCAGGTTGTTCCACTGATTAATTGTTCTAACTGTCAGGAAATTTCTCCTTAGTTCTAGGTTTCTTCTCTCTTTGGTTAGTTTCCATCAGTTGCTTCTTGTCCTGCCTTCAGGTGCTTTGGAGAATAGCTTGACTCCCTCTTCTTTGTGGCAGCCCCTGAAATATTGGAACACTGCTATCATGTCCCCCCTCATCCTTCTCTTCATTAAAGTAGACATACCCAATTCCAGCAACCGTTTCTTATATGCTTTAGCCTCCAGTCCCCTAATCATCTTTGTTGCTCTTCTCTGTACTCTTTCTAGAGTCTCAACATCTTTTTTACATCATGGTGACCAAAACTGGAAGCAGTATTCCAAGTGTGGCCTAACCAAGGCATTGTAAAGTGGTATTAACACTTCACGTGATCTTGATTCTATCCCTCTGTTAATGCAGCCTAGCACTGTGTTGGCTTTTTTGGCAGTTGCAGCACACTGCTGGCTCATATTTAAGTGATTGTCCACTAGGACTCCGAGATCCCTCTCACAGTTGCTACTATTGAGCAAGGTACTACCTATACCAGGTGTAGGCAACCTTGGCTCTTTTATGACTCGTGGACTTCAATTCCCAGAATTCCTGAGCCAGCCATGCTGAGGGGAAAGGGAGAGGTTTCCATGCTGAGCCATGCTGACTCAGGAATTCTGGGAGTTGAAGTCCACGAGTTATAAAAGAGCCAAGGTTGCCTACCCCTGACCTATACTATACCTGTGCATTTGGTTTTTCTTGCCTAAATGTAGAACATCTTTTTTTTCATCATTGAATTTCATTTTGTTACGTAGCGCCCAATGTTCAAGTCTGTCAAGATCCTTCTGTATCTTAAGCCTATCTTCTGGAGTGTTGGCTATTCCTGCCAGCTTGATGTCGTCTGCAAATATGATGAGTTCCCCATCCATCCCCTCATCCAAATCATTGGTGAAGATGTTGAAGAACACTGGACCCAGAACAGAGCCCTACATGCTTCCCTCCATGTAACTGCAGTTCCATTGAGTACGGCCGGTCAGCTAGCTACGAATCCCTCTGGTGGTGATGCTGTCTAACCCACATTTTTCTATCTTATCAAGTAGTAGATTGTGATCTACTTTATCAAATGCCTTACTGAAGTCCAAGTAAATTATATCCATAGCATTCCTCTGGTCCACTAATTTTGTTGCTTTGTCAAAGAATGCAGTAAGATTTGTCTGGCATGATCTGTTTTTGACAAACCCCATGTTGTCTTTTGCTAATGACTTTGTTTGCCTCTAGGTGTTCGCTGATTCGTTGCTTGATTATCTTTTCCAGAATCTTCCCAGGTATTGAGGCAGGCTGATAGGTCTGTAATTTCCTGGGTTCCTTTTTTCCCCCTTTTTTGAAGATGGGAACTACATCAGGTCTTTTCCAGTCCTTTGGTAGTTCCCCAGTGCTCCAGGATCTTTCAAAAATATAGCTCAGTGGTTCTGAGATCACATCTGCCAGTTCCTTGAGACCCTTGGGGTGTAATCCATCTGGTCCTGGTGATTTGAACTCGTCTAGGCTGGACAGGTGCTCACTACCATTTTCTTGTCTATCTTAACTTGTGTTTTTAATCTGTTTTTTACGGTACTATTTTTGATAGGTTGGACTGTTTTATCCCTTTGTGTAAAAACAGATAGTGATAAGAGATTTCCAAATGTACTATTACAGATTTCTTCACAAATCTCCCTCCTCAAAATTATTTTCAATTGCAAAACAGGAAATGATTTGCACAAGAAAAGCAGGTAATTTTTCCCCCTACCTGCACATTTGTTTGAGCAAGCGATGACCCTGCTATTTTTTCCGGGTGTGGTAACACTGTTCCTATAGGTTGTTGTATGATTTTGGCTCCAGCATCTTGTCCTGTAAATATACTCATGGTGAATATTGTTGACATTACACAAAGAATTACACATATTTGAATCTTCCACCTAAATATACATCACTGAAAGATATTAAATAAATTGTCACTAGGAGTGTTTTTATGTAACTATTCTAGACCAGCGGTCTCCAACCTTTCCGGCTTGGCAGCCCGGCATGGGGAGGATGGTTCCGTGTGAGTGGCACGTGAGCGTATGCATGCGCACAACTCTATTTGTGCTTGCGCAGCCCAGTTCCAAACGGGCCATGGCCCAGTAGTGGGCCACGGCTCAGGGGGTGGGGGACCCCTGTTCTAGACTATAAAATACAGGTAGTCCTTGACTTACTACCACAACTAAACCCAGAATTTTGGTTGTAAGTTGTTGCCTTCTCTCTCCTCCCACCATTTTTGAAAAGACTGGCCTCTCTTGCCCCACCCCTCCAGGAAACCTGCTGTAGGCTAGAAGGCCTCAGCCATCTAGACCCAGTGGTGCATGGAAATTGCCATGGGTCAGAAGGAGACAGACAGCTAGAATTTCCTGCAGGAAGGAAGGCCTCGGCCATCTAGGACCAGCAGCGCACAGAAACCTGCCTCCGACTGGATCCCCCAGCCTGCTAGGTAGGCCCAGTGGCACAAAGGCCTCATGCCTCCTCAATACCATTCCCAAGAAACCTAGCTTTCTCCCTTTCTGTTTCTGGCCAGTCTTGAGGAAGAATGCCTTTCCTAGCTTTGTAACTGAAGTTCAGGGGGGGAAGGAGGGAGGAGGCCTATGCATGACTGGGCCTAGCCAGCTGAAACCTTCCAGATGTGTTAGGGCACAGAAAAGATCAGGCCACTCTGGAGTGGAGGGAGAAAACAGAAAAGACTCACGTGCTGCTGGGCCTGGCTGGCTGACACCTGCCCATGCCTGGTTTCTGTATATGGGTGGGCACCAGGCCTCCCAAGACTTCCCCCACCCTCTGAGGCAGCCCTCCACGGTCAGTTAACCCACCCAGTCACTTAATGCAATAGGAAAGTATAGCAGCATGTATTTCTGAAAAAATACTATAAAATAAACATCTTTATGCTATATATGCAAATATTTCTAACACCGTGTTCACGTATATTATCATAAAATAACTTATTTTATAAAACATTGTCATAAGTTTATAAAATTACGGAATCACTGATATTAGCCAAAGAAACTTGTCAAATGCACTTTTAGATTTTAATTCTAACCCTTTCTTCAGTAGTATAGATAGTATTGTAATATCTACTTACAACCCAAACTTTTCAATTAATACTTAAGATAACATCAGTATGAAGTCATTCTGATAAATTAGAAATAAATTAAAATCTAATAAACTAGATTACCTAAAAGATTTGTTGACTGTGGTTGTCTCAAGCTGTCTTGTGATTTTGATGATGCAACCGAAGATGCCAGGTTGATTCCTTTTTTTTGAGCCTGCAAAGATACAACAGAGACACATCACACATATCATTAAAGATGTTTAAAAAGAAATAGTCCATATAAAAAAAATGCGTAAGTAGCTGAGTTCCACATCAGTTTTGCCCACAACTTTTAACCACAATTATTGGATGCACCACAACAGCTTCATTTAGGCATCATACTAAACCAGAAACCAGAAACACCTAACATATTTCTCATAGTGAGAGATGTATGTCCACTGGGGATGTGGGTGAGGTAAGGTAAAAATGCTTTCAGACTTTTTTCTTCAAATCATTATGTCTTATCAATTCTTTGAGTGCTAGACTTCCAAACTACTTCTGATGTAATTAGAATTAAGGCTATTTGATTTTGGTATTAGTTAACTGAAGACTGACTCTCCTTCATTCATAGAGTTGAACTTCAACTAATTATATTCAACTTATATCCTAAATCTTTATAATTGAATTGGTGCACAGTATGGATAAAATCTTTCATTTTTATACAAATGCTTTATTCATTCTCCATATACAAATTTCAACAAATAACATTTAATTGTTAGTTGCAATAGTTAATTCAAATATCACAAAATTTATGACTTAGCATGAAAGCAACCCACAGTAAGCCTGGAATCATCTACTTCCCTCTGTGCCTTCTTTATTGCGTATGTGAGAGTAAATTGGAAATATCCATTTAAATTCCATTTTTAACATAAAATAGTATTATGCTGAAATCCTAAACTGTGGTTAATCTTGCCTTTGATTAATGAAAATAAAGCAATTCAGAAACTGCAATTAATTTAAAATAAAAATGAGTAGTTCATTGAATTCTGACATTCACTGTAATTCATTATCACATGGAGCTCATCAAATATAGTTTTAAATGAATACACATCTAAGCCAGTAATGAACCTTATTTGTATGAAATCACATTTTTAATAAAAATAATTCCATGTGAATAAAAAATGAAAGTTAGTATTATCATATCAATAAAGCAGCGAAGTTATTTCAAAATACTGCTTGTTTAGAAATACAGGTGGCATGATCATACCCCATCCCGCATCATTAAAGAAACTATACATTTATGGAACATTTTTGATCTTGTGAATCATACCTGTCCAAAAGAAAACGGTGACTGGGTTACTGACGTTTGACTAAAAGGACTGACAGGTTTTGAAGAAACTGGAAGTCGATGTGATACACTGACTGACAACTGAGTTCTATTTTGCTGTGTAAGTTGATCTCCAGCAAAGCTTCCACTTGAAGCTACAGACTGAACTGATGAGCCAATGTTTGGATGTACCGTAGCAGAGGAACTCACAACAGTAAAACGATTACTTGAAGATATATTTGAACCAGTTGCCTGTCCAGGAGACGCTGCTGAATATCCTGTTCTGCCTTGGGAAAGATTTCCTTGGTTTGGGGATAAATGTAATACAGCAGGAGAGGATTGTTGTAGTGGAATCTGACCACCAACAATTTGAGAAGTTCCATGGTTGACTATAACTTGGTTTCCAGGAGCAAATGTCTGACCAGAAACTAACTGTACAGCATTCTGATTATTCAGCATTTGTCCTGAATATGCTTGGTTACCTCTGAGCATATTCGCAGAGTTTCTATTTAACATAACATGCTCAGTGGATACTTGGCTGGGAACAAGTTGTGAAGACTGATTCTGAAGCAGCTGTCCATTTACAGTCTGGACATGGTGAACTGGACTGGGATTTACAGACAGACTTGTGGGTATAAGAAACTGATTCTGGGATGCATGAGGTTGTCCCATTGGAGAATGGATAACAATGCTACCACTGGCATTACTTACTGTTTGGGGAGTAACTGGTTTTCTTGAATTTTGCTGACTAACAATATTAACAGACATATGTGGACCAACTACTGAATTCTGAGGTGAATTTGACGAAGCAAAGGGAATTCCTTGTTGTACATGATGCTGTTGTATTCCTAAGCTATTTACATTGTATGTAGCTTGCTGTCCCATCTGAATTGGTTTGGGTTGAATATTGATGGGAATTTTGTTAGAATTTGGAGCAAGACCCCTCTGTATAATGATGTTGTGTACAGGCAAAGATGCCTGAAAATTTGTACTATTAAATGGAACAGTTACAGGTTGTGCTACTGAGCTTGAATTTGAATTGCCAAACAACGAATTGCCATTAGGAGTTTGTCTATGAACCAAAAGTCCACCACTCATATTTGCAGGTGCTTGTTGGCCACCACCCTTCAATATAATATGAGATCCTTCAAGATTGTTTATGGCCATCATAGAAGGTTGATTACTAAATGAACCAATGAGTTGTATTTGTCCAGAACTACCAATCTGACTATTTGACAAATGCTGACTGGGAACACTGATCCCCACATGTTGCATAAAGCCATGTTGCACACCAACTGTATTGCTTGTAAAAGATGCTCCAACTGGTGGCTGTACTACTTGAGTAACTCCAATAGGTTGCAGCGTTTGACCTGAGTAATTAGAAACATTAGAAGCCTGAGTAAAAGATGCTGATGAGGAAGGATGAAGTTGTGTTTGTGCAAACTGTTGATTGGAGCTTATGTTGGCATCCAAATAAGCCTCTTCTGCCAAAGTCTGCTCAGTAATATTAGCTTCTTGCAAAGATTTCTGGAGGATATCAAAAGGCTGATCTTCACCAAGATCAGGCAATGGAGATGATTCAAGTTCATCATCAAGAAACTGAAGAGTACTTGGCAACTGTAGTCCATCATTAGACCCTTCTCCAAGCTGACCACCAACACCTTTGATTGATGACTTAGGATCAGAGCTCTGAAAGGAAAAAAATACAATAAAATGTCTTCAATCCTTTTTTAAAAATGCCAAATGTACAGCATAGTTCACTATAATTATTTTCCTTTTCTCGGGTTTATTATTAGAACAAGAAACATTACTGTTGTGCAACACTGTGAAATAATCCTAACATTTTTTTCAATAAGGTTCTCAGACAGGATTGTTGGCATATACTCATTTATTTCTACAGAGGTCCTGTGAAGGATTAGTTAAAAGTAGCCTGAGAGCTCTGAATCCAGAGACAAGAAACTCTAAAGCCAAATCCAACAAGTCTGGTTTTAATTACCCATTTCACAACAGGATAATGATACTGGTATGCAAAATATATAAATTGACAGCAAGAGCTTAATATACTGTATATGAGTACAACATTCTGCTCTTTCTTAGCCCCTCTATTTAATCATCTGAATATTGCAGCATATTTACAACTACAATTTGTAGTTATTTAAGGCACCGGCAGCATATTATCTACTTTATATGATCATTAAAAAGCTACAGCTGTTTACATTTTATATTTTTCTTTAGAGAAAAATATAAAGTTGATTCGGGAGCAAATCAGATTAGACTAAAGTAATGTAGAGCTGATCAAACTATTCCCAGAAGTCTAGATCTAAAATATCTCTGCACCCTCCTAATAATATGCACACTATATATATCAGCAGTAACAAAGACACTCTATAAAGATTAACTTTTATCTAATTGAAAATCTATCATGACATTAAACATTAGAGCTTTGCCATGTCATGAAATCACACTTTGGATCTGAAGGAAAAAACTACTCCAGAGTACGTACAAGGATTTTATGGCAACTCCTTAAAGCAGCTTGGTCTTCTCCAAGGACCACTCAGCTGCCTTCTGCAACTGCAGCATAAGCTCTGGAAAATATATGTTTTGTTTAGGTGCTATGTGGGTGCCTAAATGCAGTCTGAAACACCCTTGAAGTGTAAAGCACTGTACAGTCCTGCTACACATCATCTCAACCTGTACTATTTAGCTAGCATGTCGAGAGAGTAGAAGGTCATCACAATCTTTATTCTTGGTTAGAATCTGATATGTCTGAATTGCAAAACTAGAAGTGATAAAGAAAAAAACAATATATTATGAGTTCAACTGAGCTACAAATTCTGCTAGAACAAATCAAGTTATATTAAGAGGTAATTCTGGATCACTTCTATCAGTCTCATTAATTCTTTCTAATAGAGAGGAAGTAGAAGAAATTTTAGTAACAACTTTACCATTTTTCTTGGTAAAATTTTCTTATACTGTAGCTTGCACTAACTAGATATCCGCTCAGTTTCTAAATTTCAACAATTTGCATAAGCGGGCTGAATAGAATTCACAAGACTAAATACTTTGGGAAGAATAGCTTCCTATTGCAATTCATTTCAGGTATATAAATATAGTGATATCAAAATCTGGGAGAATAACTATTCATTAATATCACTAATAAAATATTATATATATAGACAACATAGGAAGTTGATCTCATAAGATAATCAGTAACTATTTTTATTCCATTCAATTACATATAATATAAATAATGCAACTAGTCTATAGAATCTACAATAACATCGTATATTTCTTCTCTATACTTACACTGGTATTGGCAAAAATGGAATTTGAGTTGGCTGCAGAATATCCTATGTTACTCAAGTCTTCACTGTTCTGTGACAACACAAAAAAATAAACTAAGAGCAATACATTTGGGACACAACTTTCCTCGTAATCTAATAAGAGTCTGACCTTTAAGAGCTAACATCTAACATTAAATTTTTCTTCCCACTATCTTTCCATCAACAATTGTGCTTATTCTTTCCAACTTCAGGAAACTATTGTAGCCTCAGAAAGATTCAAAGAGAGACACAGAGGGAAGGCATAGGACAAGATAGAAGAAACTTTGGATCTAAAAGGTTTAAAAACCTCCTAGTTCTCTGCCACATAAACTTGAGAAGTGCTAAAATGTAGACCTCTCTTACATTACCACTCATTGGGCACAACATAAGATTTATTTTAAATGGAAAGAAAAAAAATGCAGAACTGCAAGCCCACATTTCTAGTTTGCTGTGATAAACCTTGCATATCAATGAATTTGCTTAAGATTCTGCGGGCACATTTTTAGCAACCCCAAACAATTGTTAACAAAATTAAACGTACAATAAGCTAACATAAATAACTTACAGATTTACTTCCCCCTCCGTGTAGAAAGTAATTCAGTGCCTGTGGATCTCTAAAATATAAATAAACAAGAAAAGTGAGATAGACCGGTTTAAACATTAAAGCATTTTAAAACATAAAAGTTGCTAAAATTTAGATTGTTTCAATAGGTAGCAGCACATTTCCTTTCTCCTGTAGGCTTGGAAGGTTAGCAGATTTGGACCAGGTTAGCATTTGAATGGGAACTACCAAGGATTGGCTGAACTGGAGGCTAAACTGAGAAATCAACATCCCAGAAAGCTGCAACTGTAAACACTTTCATATTGTTACACACACACATTCCAAAATGCATGGTTGTGGCCTTGTAACTACCCAAAGATGAAGTTGACCTGAGGACATATTTATATTTAAAATATAAATTGACTTATAAACAGAAACTATTTTTTTAAATTATACTGCAACTGTGTCCCCCAACTGTATATTTTAGAGTATTCATTTCCTGTATAAGCAAAAAAACCTAGCTTGTATCTGGAAACATATCTATAAGGTACATTGTTATCCTTCTCTTTATAAGACTTAATTGCTACACTTTTAAACATTCATGATTTATTCTATTTATTCTATCAAGTCCATACTGAAATTTATCTTTTTTCATCTTTTGGTTTATTTTGATATTTCATATGACCAAGAGAATTTCTATACAGTTTTTGTATAAATGATACAGTAAATTATTTTTGTTGTTGTTAGTTGCGAAGTCATGTCCGACCCATCGCGACCCCATGGACAATGTTCCTCCAGGCCTTCCTGTCCTCTCCCATCTTCTGGAGTCCATTTAAGCTCATGCCTACTGCTTCAGTGACTCCATCCAGCCACCTCATTCTCTGTTGTCCCCTTCTTCTATTGCCCTCAATCTTTCCCAGCATTAGGCCCTTCTCCAGTGAGTCCTTCCTTCTCATTAGGTGGCCAAAGTATTTGAGTTTCAACTTCAGGATCTGGCCTTCTAAAGAGCAGTCAGGCTTGATCTCCTCTAGGACTGACTGGTTTGAACGCCTTGCAGTCCAAGGGACTCGCAAGAGTCTTCTCCAGCACCGTAGTTCAAAGGCCTCAATTCTTTTGCGCTCAGCCTTTCTTACGGTCCAACTTTCACATCCATACATTGCAACTGGGAAAACCATGGCCTTGACTCTATGCACTTTTGTTGGCAGGGTGACGTCTCTGCTTTTTAGTATGCTGTCTAGATTTGCCATAGCTTTCCTCCCCAGGAGCGTCTTTTAATTTCTTGGCTGCAGTCCCCATCTGAGGTGATCTTGGAGCCCAGGAAAATAAAATCTGTCACTACCTCCATTTCTTCCCCATATATTTGCCAGGAATTGAGAGGGCCGGATGCCGTGATTTTGGTTTTCTTAAATGTTGAGTTTCAAGCCAACTTTTGCACTCTCCTTCTTCACCTGCATCAAGAGGCTCTTTAGTTCCTCTTCACTTTTTGCCATTAGAGTGGTATCATCTGCATATCTTAGGTTGTTGATATTTCTCCCAGCAATCTTAATTCCAACTTTTGATTCATCTAGCCCTGCCTTTCTCATGATGTGCTCTGCATATAAGTTAAATAGGCAGGGCGACAGAATACAGCCTTGCTGGACTCCTTTCCCAATTTTGAACCAATCATATAGGTTTCTCAAAAGAAAAATAAGATGCTCTGGTACTCCCATCTCTTTAAGAACTTGCCACAATTTGTTGTGATCCAGTAGTAAAAACTACTGTTTATCATATATGGTGATTTTTTTCAAGTGAATTTTTCAGACAAATAAATTTCATTGGTTGCCAGTCTTCTATAGATGAAATCTACTACAGCAAGAAAGTTTCAACCTCCAAATCATTAAACAAATTCATGTGACCATCTATTGCCTCAGAAAGATTGATTCACTAAGTGGCTGTTATTTAAACTCACATACAAAGAATTTGAGGAGATTCTCAATGTATTATTTATTTCCTTGCATTTGTTTTTCTGTTCCATTGAATTCTGCATGAAGTATATGAAGCTTTCCCAACAACCTTCTCTTTAACATCTGCATAATTTTATAAGGCTACTGTATTATCATACTTTAAGTCATGCCCTAGGATTAAGAGAACTTAGATGTTCAGTTTTGCTTTTTACATTTAAAATAAGATGAAAATAAAAATTATGGGATGCAAATATGTAAATATATATGGAAATATTTTCCAATATGAAAGTGACTGTTCTTAAATATTAAATTAAAAGGATGAAAGGCTTGCTCTATAGAACAGAAACAAATGAATGGGTAGCAATATAAACAAATGCAGATTTTGCTCATAAAAATCATGGAAGTCTATAAAAATTAGCTTGAAAAATTAGTTGTTACTTGAGAGGAGCTTCCTTAGTGAATTTTTATGTGAATGTCTAAACAGGGCTTGCCTCATTCTACTTTCCCATGCTGTCAGTTACCGTATTACTTGCCTTATCTCCATTCAATTTTGTTCCCTGCCCCTTCCCCTTTCTACCGCAACTTTCTTTTTTTTTATATTTTTACTATCTTCTTTTATTTTTTCTCCTGGAAGAAAGGTCAATTTATGCATATCAGAGTGGTCTTTGAGTTTGATTCTATCTTTTTTGGAAAGTAATTTCTGAAAGTTATTCATAACAAGAATGTTGTAGTACACTTTTATGGGGGTGCAGGGAATCTCCAGGATTGATTTCAGCTGAACATGGCAAACCTAGGTTCGGCAGACAGCACAGGTTGTTTAACCTTTTTTTCTACTTTTCTTTTGGTGGATGGGTTTGATCTTAAATTTAGGGTCATATTTTATGGAAATTGAGTAATTGATTTAATGTGATTTATGTATGCATTATTGATGATAGACTATGATTTCATATGTAAATTCTAAGTAACTCAAGTACTTTAGGTAATTAAAATGGGAAAAGTTGAAAATATGTGAGGAAATAAAAATAAACAACTGATACAAATTTTATTTCATTTTCATCATGAATATGATCAGAGGTAAATAGTCTGCAGAACACTGCTCTCATAATAAAGTGAGTTCTTTTCACCAGTTCTGCTTATGCAGCTTAATATGTCCCTAAACAAAACAATTTTAAAAATTCATCTGGAACGGTGAAGAATGGCGAGAAATACTAGAAGCTGCAGGAAATAAAGGGAAATTACAAAAATCACAATCTTCCCTACTTTCTTTTGAATGAAAACCTATTCTAAATCCAGACTCCTTGAAAAAAATTCATTTGTTTATTACTGTGAAATAAAATTATGCTTCAGAAGATAAAAGTTTTAACTGAAATTGCTTATCAAACTAGCTTTCCTTTTAAAATGAATTTTGAATATTTTTCAAGGACAAGTGTCTAAAATAAAATCTTACCCGATAAGATCAAAGAGACAGGCTTCATCATCATCATCATCCATGACAACTAAGAAGACAATAAAGTATTCATATTGTATCATAAAACATATTTCAAATTCTATTTTTATGAAAAACTGCTTTATGTAAGAAATTACAAAATATATTTACCATGAAAGTGTTTTTACCATGCTAATTTACTGTATTGGAAGAGGGCTATGTAGTAAGCTACATCCAATAATATGGAAGCTTATTAATAATTTTCCTTATTGTTACCCTTTCCCTCCACCATCCATACCTCTGAAGAACTATTTAGATCTGTTCCAAAAATCCTCCCAATCCTTCAGATATTTGAGGTGTACTGAATGCAATGGGTTAACATTAGGATTACATGTTCAATCCTAACACTAATCTGTATCTGTAATACAAGCTAGGTATAGATATATACGTCTATTTCTGGACCGCAGCCTAAAACAGAAATGAAGTCTGATCCAGATTAAACCAGAATCCCAATTTGTATTGGTACCGTATTTCAGTTTTTCTTTCCCAAAATATTGTCATGGAGAAAATAGTCAAAATATAATGTGGCTACCATCCCCAAAATATTTACCTGTTTATGTCTTGTAGATTCAGTGTGGAACTAAATTGAATGATGTTCCATTGATCTTTTTTGTGTGTTCCATTTGTTTGTTTAGCCTCTGAATGGCTTGTTTTTACTGCATTTTAGCTAATTCACAACTTTATACTGCTAATTAATTTTTGTCACACACAATATTATAAATAATACAGTGTTGGGGGTGTGTAAGAGTGTTTCCAGCTTTATGAGATGAATTGTTTGCTTGCTGCATGTTAGGTTTATTAGATGGCTCACAACAAATAATTTCCAAATCTCAAGTGTATTTGCCCATTTCTATTCTTCTAACTCACGACATTTGCCAAATTCAGATGTATTGCATTATTCCCTAACATATTTTACTATTTCATCCAAATGAATTAACAGCACTGACTTTCTGCTGATTCAAGCTCATTGTAGAATAGTATGTCCATGACTATTCCTAAATCACCTGAAGTGCATCCATATGAAGCTTTGTTCAGGGAATTCTACAGACTTCTAGTTGTACACTCCACATTTTCAAACATTTTTCCATCTTCCAATCAAGAATCTTATAGCTTCAATTTTGATCACGGTTGCAATTTTTTTTCTCGTAAAATCTTTCCAATAGATGGAAATTATGTAATAAGTCCAGAGCCTCTGAACAGCAGATAGTGACAAGGTGGAACATATCTTTTAAGGTACAAAAGCTCTCTCAGATTTGGATATGACACATCAACATGTGGTTCACAGACAATGATTTCCAAAAGTCTCCTCTGTGAAGCTAAAATCTTTTATTTGAGATTCTCTTTATATGCTTTATAAGTATTGTGATATATTGTGAAGGATATAAGCAGTTAGAGAACATAACCAATAAAACATTTCCTCTTCATCTCATGTATTGACTTTATTACCTAAAGGGCTCTTAAAGGCATAGGAGAGTCAGAACGAAGAGATACCTAATCTACCTTCCTGCATAGAAGCTCAATTATCTCCTCTGCCTGGATCTTGTAGCAATTAGGATTTTGTTCTGGAATATAATGGCTGCATAACATATAAATGGTTTAAAGACAACTGCGCCTCCTAGTTTTAATTGGTCTTGTTTTCCTGTCATAGTTTTCAAAGGCAAGGTAATCTGCAAAAGAACATGGTGTAACTGACATTTATCATTAAATACAATTTGTTCCTCCTGTTCTATCCATCCTGTTCCATTTTGTTTTTGTTTGCGTTTATCCCACCTTTTTTTCATATAAAACTTAAGGTGGAAAATATACCAATACTCCTTCCTTCCTTCCTCCTACTTTCTCAACAACCCTATGACCTGGGCTAAGAGAACATGACTGACCCAGTCACTTAACTGGTCTTTCATGCCTAAAGACTGGAAGTCAGTTTCAAGGTTTCTAGGCCAGCATCTTAACCACTACACCAAACTGGCTCTTTTTTTTCTTCTTTCCTCAAATGTATTTTATCTTTGTGGGTTTTGTATACATCTTTTAGGGATGTTTAATCTGATTAACTGCATTCTCTCTATATATTTTCACGTTTTATTTGAAATCATGAAATGGTTTGGCATATTGTAAACTCAGCTAAATTTTATTAAAAGAAACAGGTTTAAAAAAACCATAGCTTAGTACAGAGTGAATCCAATCTTTTTCTAGACAATAGATCCATCTTCTATATTTATATGCCAAATTATTCTTTGAAATAAAAGGAAACCCATTATGTTACTTAAAATGGATTCACATTTAATATTATTTTGATATATTAATAATCAATGGACACTGTGTTAAGATTCAGAATCCCCAGATAGCTTACTGCATAGTATTATTTCAAGGATGAATTAGTATTATTACAAACATTTTGCTCTTAACTTGTCTCCCCCTTGTTATGAAGAATATGTACAAGTTTTATTAATATGTATATTTTCAACCATTGGCTTAAAATATAAAATAAAGTATCAAATATTACTCTTTTCTTATTTAGATAGATGGATGGAAGAGACATGAATACAAATGACACAACAAACGTCTATGGAATATGAATGTGTGATTCTCTATATAGAGTTTGCGTTCCTCTAATCAAATGATAGAGAAACCATTCCCTAATCACATTTCTACTTACTGGATTGCTCATATACTATAGTACAATGATTTTTTCCCCTCAGAAGTTACTGACTTGCAGAATGTCGATGTATCAGTTCCACTACATATTAAATGTGCTTGTAAATGTTTTGGTAATTTCCACTGGAATACAGGAAATTGGAAACATATCATTGTTTCCTCTTGCACATCAGTTTTACTCCTGATAATTTGTGATAAATTGTCAAGTTATTCACTAGCTTGCATTTATGGTTCCGGTCTCGTAAACAGTGTGGCAGACATAATAGTAGCTATAGCCTCTCTAGATTGTGATCTTAAAGCTAGATGATATCATCTGCCTTACGTTTCCCAGTATATTGCTTCAGCAACTGCCCAGTTCATATACTGGAATAGGGACATATAGAAAGTAAGTTAAGCAAATTGGTAATAGTTAACAACTGCCACATTATTCTTTAGATTAAGAATAAAACCAAAAAAATCATTTCATCAAGTCTACAAAGGCATGTATACATACACTAAATCTTTCATAGCATCCTTTGTTTTGTAACAAAGTAAAACAAATGTGATCATTTATAAATTCTAGCTAAAAAGTGAGAAAAATGGAACAATTTATTCTACTTGAAACAAAGCAATTTAAATTGTTAAAAACAGAAATGATTACATTATAGATGTAGATGCCTACTTCCCATTATACCAAATTTCAAATTTGCCAGTTTACTGGTGGGGGGGTCCATCTATGAAAAAGCGACTGCTGTAAATCAAGATTTATGACTAACAGAATAGGGCTGTACAATATAGAACTGTAGCTGATACAAAAAGGTAGCTGTGTATGGGCCTCTCCTATACACCAAATAACTTCTTTAGATTTGAATATGAAGCACTACTGGATAGCCCAATTACAGAGTGTCAAAACAAGATGTTTTTAAGTTTTTATTTTTTTTTAATTTCTTCAAAACAAATTACACTATTCAGAAATAAATCTAAAATGAGACAACTGGTTGAATATGATTTTTTTCTGTTGTGCTATTATTCTAATAAAGTTAGATCTTTCCAATGAATTGATATACTAAGAACTTTCTTCAAAATGACATAATAAAGATTGTGAATCTGAACACCACCTGTGCTACATTTGAATTATAACCATGACTGAGAATATGGGTGAATATTCTCAACTTCACGTGTATTTGAATACGAAGCACCACTCCTAAGATTGGCAGAACAAATAAACACTATCTCATAAAAGCTATATAAATTAGTTTAGTAGTCTGGGCCAATTATTAAATGGACAAGATTTATAAATGTTATAAATTGGTATTCTCATTACTTGCCTATTCCCATAATTTCTTTCCATCTGTGTTTTATACATGATGTACATTTTTTTTAACAGTCTTAGAAAAAAGAAACAACTCTGGTTGAAAGTATGGTTTACTTTTAGATTCAAGGTGGTTTCTAGCACCATGAGGAAACATTTATAGAATCAGTGTCATCCTCTGAACATAAATACTGTGTTTAAATCCTGGGATTTCTATGTGATAAGATTTGCTGCTGAAAATAAGTTTGAAAAATATGCATGCAGCATAAATCTAGGCCTAACAAAAACATAATTTACTAAAATATGTATACGCCAGGTAGGAATTCCCAATTAAAATACAATTTTTCACAATGTCTCCTTTCAAAGCTAGGTTCTTTGATGCTACTCAAATTACTTGCCAAATAATAAATCCTCTTCTCTTTCTTTCATGAGACCTAATGAAGGCAGACATTTTATTGAATTTACAATGTAATTTACTAATCTATTAAATATTTTAAATGGGTGGAGGGGGATTATACAGAACAATGGAGATTAATTCCTTAAAGGAAAACTGAAATGTTATTAAACAATATATCCAAATTGCTTTTTTGCTTGAACTTTTCCTTGGTTTCTGGATATATTTTACACGGTATTGTTAAGAGAACTACTAAACCAATGTACTAGACAAAATCCCTTCTAAACAATTGCCTAGGCACAATGGTAACTGCACTATCCAGTTTAGAATGCCAAAATACAATGAAAGATGTTACCTAATGATAAATATTAATACTTAGAACTTTGCTGAAAAACTACTTTTTTATTCATTTATTTCATCAGTTATTTATTAGGAAATAATAATAAACCAAGTCCAAATCATCTTTCTTCCATTGATGATATGAATGGCTCTACAAATAGATGAAATTGATTTCATTACTGTCACATTATTAAACTTATCAAGGCAATTATTTCCTAATATTAAGTTTCTTAAATGTATTCAAAAAGTTTTAGTTAATTCTGAAAAGACCAAGAGAAGACCAAAGAAAAACTTAATAGTGGGAAATTACTGGAAAATGCAATATATTTACTATTTTTGCCCCATTGTTTCCTGTGAAATTTAATATCTAAAAAAATACACAAAACCTGCCACTTCAATTAAGAAGCATTCTGAGATTACAAAACTTAATACTTGTGTTTTAAATATACATATTTTACTCCTTCATCAAGTCTTCAGAAATAGAAATGTAATGGCAGTGAAGGTAGGAGAATGTTTAACTATGCTCCCTTACCAGGTTTTCTGGAATAGAACCTCATTGATCCCATGTAAAATTGTGTTATTACAAAAAAGAATTTGAAAGGCCATCCAATTTCCCAAGGTCCTCCATTTTTAATCCATAGATCACACACTGCTTTTCTTTAAAGTTACTTGCATCAATATAGATGTTTTTCTCTATGTGATTTATACATTCAAGGCTAGACTATTTCAAGGATTTACATCCCAATCTGGTGATAATTTCTATAAAAGGAGTTAACAACATTTAATAGTAATACTCATTGCCATTTGTCCCCATAACCATTATTCTTCATAAGAAGCTAGTTTGTAAATGGAAATAAAGACGGAAGAATTTTTTAAAACAAATATTAGTTGTTATATCGAACAAGAAACCGGACTTAATTGTTAAAAGCATTAAAATATGAGGCACCCTCAACCTTGGTTAAGATTTTC